AGCAGATGAATTGACTAATTAATTTTTCTATTTATTTCATAAACATACCTTAAATGGCAGTTCCATTTAACACTCTATGAAGAAATGTCTTTTAAAAATAAAAAAGACAAACAAAAAATAGGATGGAAGAAAGCTTAAAAATAGACTGCTTGGAGAGAGGAGTTATGGTGTGGGGTTGTCCCACCAAGAATGGCAAACCTGGTCTTCTCACACGTGCTGGGGACCTTTAAGATCTTGTAAATAAATGTGGAATAAGGGGAGTTCTTACTGAGCTTGTATGGTTCTTTCTTCTTTATTAAAAATGTTTTCAGTTGTTGAAAATTACAGTTAACGTTAGGTCTCTATTGCTGTTACCCACAATTAAAACTATCTTGTAATTAGGATCATTTAAAAGTAACTTCTACATGCCTGACCTGTTCTCTCTGTGACAGGATTCAGTAACTGCTGATTACTCTGTGGTTGAGTTTGGGGGTGTGATTTGGCTGTTCTGCAGGCAATATTAATGTGGGTGGAAATGATTTAGAGGGATTTGTCTGTTCTAGGTAAATAGTATTGGATTTTTGTTATTGCATTAGAAAAGGGTGTGTTACGAACAACTTACAAGCTGGTCAATCATTTGCTTACTGGCAGAATTGCTAGAAAGAGGTGGGCTTTGGGCTTTTGTTTTTAAAGGAATAGTGAATCTTCAAGGTGAAGAGTAGGTAAGTTAGTTATTTATTTTCTAGGCAATTCTGGATAGAGAGGTGAGCAACCACTAAATAAATTTAAAATAATGTCACTGTAGTGATTGGAGAGGTGTGGGAAACTCCTGTTATAAGCCAGTCTTGCCAGTCACACTTTTCAGCTGGATGTTGGCATCACTGGTTCCTTGATGGAGATCTGAGGTGTATGAAGATGTCTGAAGAGATAGTGCTCAAAACAGGTTTTAAATCACATAAAAGGTGATCTCCAAGTGCATAGCAAGAGTGTTGAGTAGCCTTAAACTTTATGTTATGGTATGTTCATGAGTACATGAGATGAAAAGTTCAATGCACAAAATCAAATATTAACTTTAAGATGTGATCGAAGATGCAAGACTTTTTTTTTTTTCCTTTAGATTAACCTACCATAAACTTCTAATTAATTTACAGCATTATTGATTGCTTGTTTAACAGAAGATTTTATTTATCTTATTCTTTTAGTAATCATTAGTTTTGTGGTGAACCCTTCCTGCATATGTTTACTGCTTCTTTGGTTACACAAGCAATGATTCATAAATAAATGTTTAACTCCACTAGACTTAATGCAGTATTTGTACATGGATTATAATGTATTGTTTGAAAAATTAATACACAGTGGATTATAATGTATTGTTTGAAAAATTTAATACATAGCTCTACTGTGTTCTGAGTATCAGTTTGAAATTGGATGCTGCAAGTCCTGTTGTAGTCACTACCTCAAAATCTCAACAGATAGAAAGCATTATTTGCATTTTCAACTCGGTATTAGAGCATGATTCTGGAATTAAAAGTTCCTGTAAATCTGTCTAATGCGCCTGTCTATGCCTTCTCAAAGCTCACCTTGGAGAAGAATGGAGGAAAACAACTCACTACCATGGTACTTGCTCAAGGAAAACTGGACCTCAAATGCTTCTTTGAAAGTCCCTGCACAATGGTGCCAGTGTCTTAAGAAAACCCTTTATCTGCAGTTGTTTTGGAGCTTACATTAATGAAAGGGCAGAGAAATGGTCATCATATCAAACCCAGTACTGACAGTGGGTCAACAGCAGATACTTAGACAAGAATATATGAGCAGTGCTGCAGGAGTACCACTGTACGCTTGCTTACCATTCTGTCTTTCAGTGCTTTCATGGTCTAGCAGCTCCTGAGTTAGAAATCACATCTTCAGATATGGAGTTTGTCATGGATTTTCATCCCTTAGTTTGCCCAGCTACATGAACTTTAAGCTTAATTATACATTTTAAGCTTAATTAAGCTAAATTATACATTTAAGCTTAATTATACATTTTGCTCACTGTGGCATTCATGATCCTGTGGAGGTCTGTCCTCTCCTGCTTTCATCTGTCTTTTTTCTTGCCTCTATTTAGGTGTTCCTCATACAAAAGCTGTGCTGTATTTGTCCCATGCTGCCATTTTCTGTATCTCTCTTGACCTATTGTATTGGTAGATGAAAACCAACCGGCAGTGCACACAGAATTGAGTTGATACAGGATGCGTGACGGAATTGCTTTGTGATGAATTTTTTGCTTTTGTTTTGCATGTCTCTTCTAATAGTCTGTATCATTCAGTTTTATTTTTCTTGTCAGCTCAGTGCCAAGAAGCTGTCACTGTCATAGGCAGCTCTGTTGTAACCCAAAGTTTATGTCCCAGAGTGCTGGTAGTCAGCTCCAGGTCTGTTGCTATATATCTAAATTTAAGATCCCTTATCTGTGGACTCTTTTGCCCCTCATCTGACTTTCACAGAGAGGTGCAAATGCCTGCCTTGTTCAGAAGGAAATAAGAAGAGTTGCTATGAAAGCAGGATTCAGTGTTAGGAGGCATCGCTACTTTGCTATAAGAAAGGAGTGGCTAGTTAAGAACATCTGGTCTTTGCATATTTCTTCTTCCCCCTCTGTCTTATTTCTTAAGTTTTAAGGAAAAGTGGTATTTGGAAATAGAATAATTGCTTAAGAATAGACCAAATGAAGTAATGGACTAAAAGAAGAACAGTATTAAACTTGGGATTTTGTACTTGTGACGTTTTCCCTCAGTAAGTGTTCACTTGTTCTTTTTTCCTCTCTAATTATTTATGTATGCTTCAACTAGAACTTTAGCAACTACATGTCATTTGAGTGTTTCACAGTTGCCTGGAGCATACAAGATTCAGAGTACTGTGGCAGAGAAACTATGAAACTTTATCTAAATTGCACCAGAATTAATCGGCTACTGAGAATACGCTTTGAACTTGGCTAGTGCTTTCTGCCTTGGTTCTGTATAGGTTCTGCACTTTGTTGACATGAGAAATAAAGATTCCTAAGAGTTGTGCTTGTTTTGTCCCCTTTACTCTCTATGTAATTCCTTGCTCTCTTTCAGCAGTAGAGTATGTTCTGTCCTGCATGTTTGTTTCTGCATAAGGCTCTCCTGAAAGCTCTGGAAAAGTGACCCACAGGTTTTACCAGAAACCCCTGTGGGGACCTGCCTGCAACTTGCATGTTTCTCTGCTTTAGTGGTCCGTTGGTGACCATGCTAGCGCCTTTTCTTATATAGCATCTCTCTCTGAACTGGGATCATTTGGGAAATAATGAGGGATACCACTCCAATACAATACTATATTTTTTTTTGTCCAGTCTAATAACTTTCTCATCTATGCTTGTTGAATAGCAAGCAGAGTATGTGATTTCTTGCATAGCTTCCCTATTTTGTTAAAACTAAATCATGTTCACTCCCTTCCATCTTAACTGACATCTCACACAAGGGAGCATAAACACCTAATTTTAAACATGATTTATTTTTATGATTGTACAAGTGTGCTAGATGATTATTTTTTAAGAGTAAAATTGCTGTGACATCCCTAAACCAAACATAAACAGGGAGTAACCTGGATGGTTGGTTTAAATCTTCTTAGTATGCAACTGTCTGTACTTGTCCATCATACCCAGTCTTGCAATTGTAATTGGAAGACACGTGAAGTGAGGGATTGTTACTGCTTTGCGCACAAGGGGGGAAAAAGTTGCCACTGGAAGAAATCTATTAGTTATTTACTTCTAATTAAAACAAAGCACATCGAAGAAATTGCCGTAAGTGGGTTAGAAGCAGAAATCTCTTACTGATATGAGAAGGACAGGTGATACTGTAAGCTGCTTTCAGGCTTTAGCAGACATTAATAGTTAGCTTGTGCTTGATACGCCTTTTAAATATTTATTTGTAATATGAAGGTGCTACAAAAACTGGTTCTGAAACCACATTGTGAAAAGTGTGTTGGTTGAGTGAAAGCTTCAAATATAGCTCCCAACTTGTTAGCTTTATCGGCTTGTAGGTACAAAATCAGTAGATAATTTTTTGTTCTGCAGATTTATCTATATTTATACTAGATGTGTGTGCACATTTGTGATTAAGAAACGCAAAAGGAATTAGTGAAGATCATACCAGTGAGCATGTATTTTTCTTTCTTAGGGCAGAAATGTCCTTTCAGTAAGGTATACCAAGGGTTTGCACGCTGTAGAAACCACAATAGGAATTGTGGCTAGCCACCACTAGCAGTTATGTTGTTTTTGTTTAGCAGTACATTATGTAAAGCAAGCTAGGAAAGTGGATACTTAGCAGCAAAAGGGGGAAAATAATCATGTTTAATTACTTTGAAGTGCCAGAACTTAACCTGCAAGACTTCTTTTCAGCAAGGTGGGGAGCATGGAAATAAATCTGTCCCTAAAGATCAGCAGATGAGTTTATCTGTGATTTCCTGACCGTATTTGGTTTGATTCTTCAGTACTGTCCCCTAGAAGCTAATTCATTGGGCCTGGCTAGATTAGACAGACATCAATGAAGGCTTGAATTCCTTTTCCAATGTATCCAACGAAATCTGTAGTCTGGGTTAAACTTCCATTTCGGTATTTTTGCATGTAATATCATCCACAGTATTTGCCACAAACATGAATGCTACTAAGATCCCTTTCAGTCTTTCATTTCTAAAATGTTTGTCGTGTTAATGCTCGTGCACAGAAACCTGAAAGCAAAACTTCCCAGGGACTTGAATTTCACAGAACAAACTGAACAAAATCAGTACACTGAGAATATTGCTAGTTTCTCAAGTACCTGATAGCCCCTTCCTTCTTCAAAACCTGGAATTTTGTGTTTGACTAGAGAAAGGGGACCTTGTTTTTTGTTACACACAGGTAAAGTAATCTCTTGGTGTATTACGTAAGTTCTTTTAATTGCAAGATGGGGATTTTGCCGTGGAGATAATGAGACACTTTGTATCTAATGTGCAGCTTTTTTCTGTTGTTGTTTTGTTTAGTGGGAGACTTTGATAAGATCTGGCGTGAGCACTGTGAGGATGAGGAAACTCTGTGTGAATATGCTGTGGCAATGAAAAACCTTGCAGATAATCACTGGGCAAAAACTTGTGAAGGGGAAGGCCGAATTGAATGGTGTTGCAGGTAAATCTTCATGTATTTGAAAGATGCAATTGCACTCTTTTACTTGCAATTATTTATAATACAAGGCTTAAGCGTTTTTTGCTCTTTTGCCAATTTTTAAGATTTGTTCTATAACATGTTAATGCTTTATTGCTTCCTAAAACAAATACCTTCTTACTGTTCCAACTTACTAAGGAAATACAGCTTATGAAGTGTTTTGTTATAAGGTGACCCTTTTTTAAAGTATCTTCAACAAACAAGGTTGGTTGGTTTTGGTTCCCCCCCCCTGGAAATACTGAAGCTGTTTTCAAGTAAACCTATGAAGTAATTTTCTATACATTTGAACCTAAACTGAGCAAATGCAGCGAGCATAGCTCAAGTTCAGTTTTCAGGGCTTTGGTTTGATTTGTGCGTATAATAACAATCTCTAAATGCAAATCTCTGCTGCCTAATTTTCAAGTCTTAATCTTGACTTAACCTCTGTGCAACTTTATTTTAATGGATTTTAAACTTTAAAATTCCTATATGTCATAAACATCTAATTTTTATTGGGTTGTCATGATAGTAAAGTCATGAAGTGAGTTCAGCTAAACTGTTTCAATTCTTGAGGAAAAGAAACTCCTAAAAGAGAAATGTTGGTCACTCTGGATTCCTGCAAACAGTTGGCATCCAAGGCTTACCATGGAATCTGTACAGCAGAATAAAACAAAATATTGTTGAAGTCTAACTGGGAAGAGAATTTATCCATGGCCCTGCCTTTGGGAATGACTTTAGATAGGCAAAAAGTAACATTGTGTGCCAGTCTATAGGTCCTGTAGGTGAGTGTTACAGTGTGATGAGCAAAAGGCAGCAAAGAAAAGCAGGCATGGTATTGCTAAATTTAAATTCATTACATGGTCCTTTGAGCCCATAAAGCAAAAAAAAAAAAAAGGTGGGGGGAACAACTGTGAAACAGTTGATCTAGAGTACATTTTGGTGGTAACTCGAGCTGTTCTGTGGCTTCTGGAAATGGAGCAAGTAATAAGCTGATTTCCTTTTTCCCTAACACAGGCTCTTAAATATTTGAAAAACATTCCTTTATGTATCAATCTTGTATCCTTTAGCTTAAAAAAAACCCAAAAAACCTATAGAGACTGTTTCTCTATAGACACTTTTCCGGACATGTAACTGGAATAAGGATACACGAAACAAGAGAGCTGAATCAGTTGGCACTGAATCAGTGCCTAAAAATGGACACAGCATTCCCCTGACCTTGTCAGGAATAAATAAAATGAAGAAATATTATTGAGGTTGCAGTAAACTCTTGTTTATGCTACTGACCTTGTTTGGTGGGGTTTTGGAGGGGGGAGTTGTATTGGTGTGGCATTGATTTATGCTCACTTGTGATCCCCAGCTGCCCATTTGTTTTTCATAGGCTATCTCAGTTGCTAGTTGTTTTCTTGTATTTGTGCTATTCATTACTTCTGTGGAAATGCTGATATTTGTACTTCTCTTTACTAAATTACACTCTTGAATCATATTGAATTCTAATACTGTGATTTCTTGCAGCATTTACCCCCCGCCCCCCACTTGGCATGGTTCACAGATCAGTTAAGAGGAGTACTGACTGTTGTTCCAATGTTCAGGTTATCTGTGAAAATGCTAATTGTACTGGACCCAGGACAGATTCCCGTGGAATATTGCTCGATACTTTCTTACAATTTGATTGTCAACTAATACATGAAACTTTTTTCAGTAGAGCTGTGTGCACTTACTTTAAAGTAATTTCCAATAAACAGTATTCTCTTAGGTTGTGGCAAACTTGTCTGTTACCCTGTAGGACAGGATAATGTTCCTTGTGAACAGGAAGGAACAGTTAATGGCCTGGGTATTGAAGATTTTTGGCTCTGTGTCTCAGTTGTTTTCTGTTTGTAGTTCCTACAAGATTTACAAAGTAAACATTTAAATAAAGTGTCCAGTTTGGGCCTTGCAGCATGAACTCATATTGAAAAGAGAATCCACCTGGTGAGAGACACTAAAATGCTCCGTCTCAGTATAAAGCTTCAATTAAAGGACGTACCTTCTCAGTTTGCAAAGTCAAGGGGTCAGGATTTTAACATCAGTAGCAAGAAAGTGCTCTTCATTTTTCTGTGGCTCAGATTAAACTGTTCCTTCTCGAAGGGCCAAGAGGTGTGCCAGACAGATGGCAGCTCCCATTGTTGTTACTCCTCCTTGTGTCTGGTTGCATAATTGCATGCAAGAGAACTTGACTTGCATGAGACTTCACTGAAAGCTTTTGCTCAATGCTTTAACAGTGTCACCATGACAGCAGGAAGGTAGCTGATGTATTAGATGTATTAGATGAAGTTTAATTTGGGAGTGCAATGCTGAAAATACTCGGGAACCACTGGTGTATCCCTGCTGAAGAAAGGATAGTCTGAGCCTTTTTCTTTTTCTTTGAAGGAAGATCTTTTCAGGCATCTGAAACTGAGAAGTGTTTTTTCCACTCGTTTAAAAAAACACTTTTTTTTTTTTTCCCCCCCTTTGTTTTCCTTGTATTCTCTTATGAACAAGCACTGGATAAAGTAAATCAGAGAATACAGAATAGCCACTAGAGAAGCCATGTGTACTTCTCAGGATCAAGAATAACAATTTTCTTGCAGAGCTCTCCTTTCACAAGTCTTTCTTGCTATTTAGTTGAAGACACTGGAAAAATGCTTGTTCTGACATTAATTCTTAAACCAGATGACATTAAAAGTTATTATTTTACTTCTTTATTAGTTGTTGATTTAAACAAGCACATATCCAGACTTTCGAAACTGTCAAAGATGGAAAGCAGTACATAATAGACTGTGCTGATGACCATATGCTGCGTTGTATAGGACCAGTTTTATTTATTGTTTTAGGGCAACATTATACAACTGTTAGTTGGGGAGAGTGGAGGGAGGAAGAAGGATTAAAACCGTGTCCCCTTCCAGATGCAGGTTAATGATCCCCTGAGTGGTATTGTAAAAAGCCTGGGCAACATTCAGCTGTCCTTCCCTTGCTTTCTTTTTACATTTTTAGAAAACTGAATACAGAGTAGCAAATGGTATTTGGAAATTAACACTTCTGCTTCTCTTTCATTGCATTTATATTACAACACAAAACTAAAACCTCAAACCCAAATAGGGTAAGATGATGTTTACCCTGAATAATTGTCCAAACTCTTAATTTTTGCTGGCATAGGTAGGCTGGTGAGCCTTTGTATGGACAATGAATGCTAGCCTGTTCTGGTTCTAGTTAGAACAAAATAAGCTAGACCAGCAGGTTTGCTTCTTTCTGTTGCTTTTGCATCAGTGTTAAGACTTGTGTTGACTTGGCTATTTTTTTAAATAACAAAAAACAAAATCTGCACTTCTAACTATCATGACAAAGCACTATCTAGACCTGCATTTTTTTAAAAGGTCTTTTGACTGTTTCATGAGCAAACTGAAGAAATATGGTCTTGATGAAGTTAATGTCAGGTGAGTGCCAAACTGTTTGGAAAAACTTGCAGTGAATAGATGTTAGAAGCTTATCTTAAAAATGTGATTTATTGAGAAGGACTCTGTCAGTGTCTGTCCCTGCATCCATTACTAATCAATATTTTCATTAGCAATCTGCTAGAATAAAATCTGTTTATTAAATTTGCAAATGAGACCAAACAGAAAAGAGTTGTCACTCTGAAAGCAGGATTAAAATTAAGAGTGTTGTTAACTATACCAAATATTATCAACTATACAAATACGGGCCAGGGAGTTGGTTATGTCAGTCTTTTCTAAAAGCATTGGGATTCTGTAGCAGGGCACAAGTTGAATACGAAACAGTCAATGGGATGCTTTTGCAATAAAGGCACATATCATACTGGAGTGTGTTAATGAGATTGTCCACAAGATATATAAAGTAGTCCTCTAACTTTATTTAGCATTGCTCTTAGCCAAAATATTACCTTGGCCACTGCATTTAAAAATAATAAACAGCTCAACTCCAAGAAAGATAAAGAAATGATCAAAAATATTCTATTTTTTTCCACAAAAGCCTTGTGGTGTGGTTTTTTTTTTCCTAGAAGCTGGAGCTGTGTAGTTTAAAAAAAGAGAAGGCTAAGTGATCTCTTACAAGATCTTTGAGAATAAGAGGTATCTTCTAGAACTGTAAAGCTGATCCTGTTTGGGTTTGGAAGATTGAATGAATTAATGTTTGAAGTCCCTTCAACACTGTTTTGCAGCTTTTTTGATGAATGCAGTTAGTCGAGCAATTCACTTTGAGGGGAACAGAATTAAGAGGGAAGTGGCGTAAACAGGAGGAGGGAAACCATTTAAAAATAGAAAAAAAGACAATGTTCATTGGTCACGTTTGTATGACAGTCTTAATTTTTGCTTTTAAATAATACTTTGTTCTGACAAAACCATATCTGTTTGTTTGAACACTAGCGCTAATTAGAGCAGTGATCATGTGATAGCTGCCGCTTATTTTCAAGTTCTTGGGATCCTCCAGTAATGAAAGATCTTGCTTCCAGAAGCTGGCTTGGGGTGGAGGAGTGGACACAACACCAGAGAAACATCTGATTACAGACCTAATTATGTTTCTCACAAGGAAAATGTCTCAAAACCCTAAAACTGAGACCAAGTATGAAAAATAAAATGGAAAAATGTATTGTATACCAGGTTCTCAACTTGAAGTTTAACAAAATATAATTCTGATAATAAAAAATTATAATCCCCTGCACTGATAAACCTAGTGCTCTCACCTATGCTGAATACAGGATTTCCTTAACCTAAGGCTGGGTGCACATGAAAATAGCAAAATATTTTTCACTCCAGAGGCAAGTTTTCTGCTCTTCTAGGTATGATTAATGTGTACAAGGGAAACTGGGAATTCTCCCTTCCTTGATTTTCTTTGGAGGTTGCAGAGTGGGTGGGTTAAACCTGTAGAAGAGTTCACACTTTTTTTTTTCAGGCCAGCAGCTCTGTCAGTTGACATTAATAAGCTTATTCCTCAGTGTGTGGGAGGAGGGGAGAAACATTTTGCAGACAGAAACCATGATGAGAAGTCCAGGCTTTCCTTCAGCTCTAAAGGGAAATGTTATTTCTCTGTACCCTCATTGAACTTCATCTTCAATATGAGGTTTTGGTTAGTAAATACTGTAAGGAACACAGGTAAAGCTCACCTTTTCCTCATTACAAAACAGGAGGAAAGAGATGGACTGTGTCAGTTCTTAGCCTTTAAAACTGTCTGCATGAAACCCTTGAGCATTGATAACAGCTATCAGAAACTGCTTTTTGCCATGACAAAGCTGACCACACCAGCTGTAATTTAGTTGTTCATTATTACTTGACTAGAAGAACTACCTACTTATTCTTTCATGGATTTTAAATTTCATATGGTGTTTCTTTGGGAATTCTCCCCTCCTTTTTTAAAATTATATATTCTATTGAAACCCTTGGTTTTGGTCACTGTATTCGAAAAAGAAGTTTCTCTTTCATTGCTGGAGAGTATTAACAGATGAGTATGTATTCATATTCGCTTTTTCTGAAACTCCCTATACGTGTCCAGCCCAAATGGCGGAACAGAGGGGTCAACTTGAACAGGTTGTTTACCATTTGAGATTTGAAGTATGGAAAACAAATTTCACTAAGGAAATATCTAGATTTTTTTTTTAAAGCAAAGACATGAACTGGACACTACCTGTCTGCCTGCCAGCAACCTTAAACAGTTTAGACTTGAAATGTTTATTTCGGAGTTTGTGTAAACTGTAGCAAGTGTTAGCTTGGGTAGTTTACATCGCACAATTCTTCACAAACAAGTATGTTAATTGTAGATCTATTATTGTATCATCAAAGACTGAAAGCTTAAATGTCAGTTAAAAATGGAGCCATGTCAGTTCTCAGAATTATAAAATAGATTCCTTAATTTTATTTCTCTTCGTAGAGAATTAAGGGATGTTCTGTTCATTACTTGAGACAGTTGTTAAATGCAGAGTCTTATATAGCTGCATACTCAAAACCATAGGGTGATCAATGGTGGCTTTTAATGGCCATGAAGTTAAACATGTGGCTACATCAACAAGTTACCATGGAGTAAACTACTGAGTGTATTACCTCTGGTTAGCTACTGTGCAACGACTGCCTACGTGCTCACTGTTACCCCACAGTAAGTGTGAGGTCTGCTTCCATGAGGGCAGTACAAAGACAGCTCCTCTGAAGCCACAGGAGCCAAAAGGGCAACATGTAGTAATGCTGCCAGAATTGCTGTAACTTCAGAGAAGCATAAAATGGAGATAACCCTCAGTGGTTATGAAGTGCAGTGTTGCCTGGGGTTTTTTTTGTTTGGATGGATGGATTTGGTTGGTTTGTTTTGGGGTTTTTTGGGGGGGTTGTTGTTTTGGTTTTTTTTTTTTTTTTT